ACCGTAAGACGCGATCATACGTAGCTGATATAGGATGGAATTCATACAAATATATGATAACAAAGAACAGCGATGTATTTAATTATCTGATTATAAAATTAAAGTTTATCCAGAAGATTTCACACCATTTTGCGCAATATTTTAATGTTGCGCGTATTTATGTTTGGCTTTGCTTTAGTTTAGCTAACTCCTATTAGGCGTAATACTAAATAAAAATTTAAAAAATTAATTTGTTTTTCTAAGGAAATAATCAAAATGGAATAAATTAGTTCTTAAAACAAAAGATGTTTAATTTATTTAGTGTGGTATGATTCTTCAACTTTACCATTAACAAAACAAAATAAATGTCTACGTTTTGTTACAATATTCAAACACCACACATTTCGTACATCATACTTACTTCATAATTTATAACAAACTTCTTTTAGAGTGTGAAGGGTCTTAATAAGATCAATCAATTATCTAGAGCCTTGAATGATCAAGTCGAAATAAACTGAACCATATTCAATGAGTTCCTAATGGTGGGAAACGTGCGGCTCGCGAGCCGCATGCGGCTCTTTTGATGACAAGATGCGGCTCTCCAGCTCCTTGCACAAATATTAATAATTATATAATTTCATTTTCACTGGACGGTGGGGTACATGTCTACCCTGCGTTCAGAAGGGTGGAATAAAAGCCTGGTGAGAAACAAATGTCAGAAGCGAACGATACAAGTTATTCAAACCGATATCCAAGACAGTTAGTTTGCCGTGTTGATGCCTGCCTGGCTAATGGGAGACTCCTGTTGAGCAGGTGTTATTCTTAAAAAAAAAAAAAAACTGCTTCTAAACTGGATTGGGATAGTATATTATTTGATTAATAATTTTATTATTCTGGCGAAACATGTGTATGTTTTTATATGAATTAATGTTATTTCATATTTTAAAGCTATATATTTTAAATAACAAATCAAATGTATTTACATAATCCTGATCAAATGTCAAATGTTGAAATAAAAATGTTAGTGGCTCTTTAAGAACTACTAAATTTTGTCAACTGAAAATTTTGGCTCTTCCATCTCCAAAGGTTGCCGATCCCTGGCCTAGACAGTAGGAATATTTTCCATATTTATATTTTTCATACACTAACTTTTCATTTTATGTCTAGCGAACATCTAGTTGTCTCGCGCTAAAGTACGGGATGAGGCAATGTTGATGTAGTATCCACCAAGAAATCGTAAAGCTTAATTGACATATATGCGTTTGTCTGAAAATGTTAAATTATACAAAGTTAATGTAAAACAAATCGAGGTACACCTGTGAAAATTGTATGGTTGAAACGAGTTTACCTATTAACAACTTATCCAACAACATAGTATGACCGTAATAAAATGAAAAATTGTGATTAATAAACCAAAGTAAGAAATTTGTAACACTTTTTATTTAACAATTTCAAACCACTAACAGGGCCTGACAAACCCAGCGCTAAACAACCCGTGCATGGAATGCTCTTGTGTTGATGGTCAGTTCCAGTGTATGCAAGCTTGCTGTCTTTACCCTGAGTGTGTGGACAGTGTTAAGAAGCCTGGAGTCTGCTGTCCAGTTTGTCCAAACGGTCAGTTTATTCAAGTTATAAGGCAAAATGATTTGAATACAATTTTATTTTTATATAAGGCTTTGTATTGTTAACTAACTTTAAATGTTTAATAAGCACATATTTTTGCTCTCCTCAGGTCGAAATTGCAAAATAAACGACACAATTGTTCCCATTGATAGCGTGATTGTGGTCCCAGGACTTGGCGAATGCTTGTGTGGTCTTCCAATGGAAAATGGTCCAGAAACTGCATGTTTCCCAGTTTCATCTGCACCAGTGACCACCACAACAACCACATCCACCACAACCACCACACGCAAGCCCACAACAACCACACTCAAGCCTACAACACAGAGACGTAATACTCCCAAATCTGTTGGTTACTTAATGTGAGTTTTTTAAAGTCTTGTAGGTTCCAGAAGAACCCATTGGTCAAACTTAGAAAAAGTTGTTAAAATGTCATTAAACAATCACTGGAGAAAACACTAAAGGGCGGATAGGGGTTGATATCATTAGATAATTTTGTGAGTTCGTTTGCCTTGAATGACTTTTAAATATGCTAGATTAGAAGCGGAAGTTAGACATTTCTAATCACGACAGTTGTCAACTTGATACTAGAGGATTGAAAAAAATAATGTAGTAATATTTGTTTGATTAAATGGGTGAATGTACTTTTATATCAATACAATAGCTGAATAACTAGTAGAAAAAATAACAAGCAGAAAGTCCTTCATATAAAAAAAATTGTTTTAAATGCATTAGAAATTAATTAGTCGTTTTAGAAATGTTTTCTATACATTTTGCGACGAACTTATGTATTATTCTATTTTTAAGACAAAGTGGCTTATTTTTAAATTATTTTTAGTGCTTACAGTATTTATTAAAGAAGTATCTCTACGTGTATTATTTATCGACTTCAAAGAAATCTAAGTAAAAAAAAACAATCATGTCTTTTGTATGCTTTAATTAAAACTATTTGCATTCTCTAATTACGGTTCAGTTCCTCTTTTACTTCTTATCTACACATTGTTTTGAATTTCAGATCAAATAGGATGAAATATATTTTTCCTTTTTAAAAGACCTGGAAGCATAACTTCTTAAATCCAACAATGGCTAATTGAAAGCATCACAAACATGGTTATAAAAGTTTAAATTAATGTTGTAAATTTACCTGTTATAAAATAAAGCAATCATGATTTCAAAACCTCTGTGTCTACTTTATGTATTTCAATGTATAAACTATCTTTGAATGCAAATATTGAAACATCTACTGCAAAAAAAAACTTGGTGTTTTCATGCGAAATATTTTTGTCTAGCGTTATTAAAATGTTTAAATCTCTTTCAACCTTAAACAACACTCACAGTAATGCTCATCTTAATGGTATTCATTCAATGTTTAAAATCTTTGATCTTTTTGTTGTTGAAGTTTTCTAATCCAACGATCAAATTGCAGAAATTGAAATTAGTCAACTTGTCAATAGAATGTATAAAACAGTTATACTTCAAATTTATGACTGTTTACGTTGACTATTTGCATCTCGGGGTGTTAATAACTGAAAAAGCTCTATTTTCAAAACTAAATTTTTTTTTTGATCGTTTATTTTCTTTCATTCTATGATTCTTTGATTCTTTGATTGTTGCAACTCTTTCTCTTCAGTTATCTCCCACTTTGCTACGCAATGATTCAATGAATATTTTCAAAATTACTTGACAAAAAACAATTGCCCACCAAATGAACACAAATATCTAGGAAAATAGTAGGCTCCTTTAATTTATATATACAACATTAATTAAGCATAAAAAAAAAATCTTTAAGAAAGATTCAAGACAGATTTTGTTTTCGTGTGTCTGTTTCTAAATTGTATTTTGAACTGTATTTAAGCCATGACCTTTAGCATTTAGTACTGTTCATATCATACACTCGACCTACGCGATCGGAAACCGACAATATATTTGTTTTTAAAAGATATATATATATATATATATATATATATATATATATATATATATATATATATATATATATCTTTTAAAATATAATGTTTAATTTTGTTAAACTGTTGAGATGTAAATATTTGGCAAACGGTTAAGACTTTGCATATTAAATTTGAAAGATCAACATACGTTGCGGGAAGGAACTTTAACTCGAGGATTATTTACTTACCTTTTAAAGGATTATCTCTGACCTTCACGACTTTGGTGTCAGGAAAATAGTTTTATAAAGCAGATACGATGGTGGTGCATTTTGAAATTTTGAAATCTAGGATTGTGTTTGAAATTTGTGATTTAGAACTTACGCTATATTTATGTGTGGGGAGGAAGTGTGTATGTTTGTGTGTGTGCATAGGTGTGCGTATGTGCTTTTTTGTATGGGGAGGGGTTAGTCTCATGTATACAATTTTAAAAAGTGTCCAAAATCATCGAGATGAACTCTTTGATGATACTCACAATTTTGTTTAACTACTTGTTGACAGACGACAAAGTAAATGCACGCTAAAAAGGTTGTAAGCCTACTGTGCACATTTGGTTTAGATAATAATTTAATCAATGATACACTTATCTCAATGTCAGGTTTATACACACAATAACGAACGTTCGATCTCGCTTACGAATTCAGCAACAGTCTATATACATTGGACGAAGTGGTCTAGTGGTAGAGAGCTGGACTACGAACCCGTAAGTCTCGAGTTTGAATCCGGGTTCAAGTCAGTAGACCTCACTGAGTCCACCCAACTCTAATGGGTACCTAACTCACGTTAGGGAAAGTAAAGGCGGCTGGGTATAGTGCTGACCACACTATCTCTTCATATGCCGAGGTCACAGAAACAAATGTACTCTACTTCACTTGCCCCATAGACCGTCAGGTTTGAAAGGGAAACTTTAAACTTATATACATAGACATGGAAAAGATTAACTGTATTCTGAAAAAGGTATCGAAACCTACTTCCGTAACCGAACGCTTCAGGTTTGATAGGAGTTCGAAAATATGTCACTGGTCGATAAATAGGCAAATTTGCAATATTTGTTGTGGAGAATTTTTGAAAACAGAAGGTTTACTTTAGATGATCCGATTTTTAAATCTTTTTTTCTGTCACCTGATAAGAGTTAAGATAATACATAATCAATAGCTTCGTGAACAGAACATATCAGTAGTCGACCTTGACAAACACATTTTAAAAAGAGTTTTGTTGGAATGTTTGATATAGAGTCACCACCTACGTTTCCACAGCTGTTGTGATCGTCGAATCTCGGAAGGTCACAAAAGGGAGTATTGAGTCTATTTTTTTTTTGTGTGCAAAAGTAATAATTCTTGGAATTACCGCCATCTGTAGGAGCCAAAATAGATTTGATTTCCTTATATGAAATTGAAGTCACATTTTAATAATCTAAAATCAATTTGTATCACTATTTGCTTGACGTCGAGAAAATCCACGTATAAAAGAAGTATTTAACTTTTTGATTGCACAGATTGCTGGCTGAGGTTGTCACATGAAATACCATGACGTCTGTGAGGACTTTCGCGTTTTTTCTGATGTTGTCGGTGCTGTTTGTTTACGCCACGACTGCTGTGTTGCCTAGCAACACGACTACGACGAAAAAAGCGTCACCCACGACGAAAACAACAACCACAAAAGTGCCAACAACGAAAAAAACAACTACCACCAAAGCGCCACAAACGACGAAAACAAAAGCCACCAAGCCACCACCAACGACTAAAACAACTACTACAAAAGCACCACCAACGACCAAAACAACTACCACCAAAGCTCCACGCACGCCCAAACCAACCACAACGAAGAGGCTCCCGACAAAGAAAACAGCGACGACGACAAATAACCCTACCACAACACCAAAGCCAGCTAATTGTGAGGTGAGTTTTTATTATAACATAAAATCACGTTTTAAGTTGTGTGTTATGCGCTTATAGTTTTATCTATAAAGGCAATTTAGAAAATTGGTTTTGGACGCTTCTTTCTTGCTAATTCATTAAGTCCTTCTGCTCCATAATATTTCGTATTTAGTACTGTAAATTTTTTCGGGCGTACATATGATGTGCGGCCAAGTCAAACTACCCCTCACCCAATACAAGAGTCCACAAAACTCGACAGGCCTGTGACTACCACCGACCCCCCCCCCCCCTCCCACCTCCCAATGCTATCCCGCATAGATGTCTTTAATGAAAGTCCCAAAGTTTCGGCACTAATTCAGATCTCAGAACTGGGTTTCATGTTGGCTTAAAATGTTTTCTAAAGAGTGGGGAAACCAATTCGTCTAGTGAATATACAGATATGTACTTATATATATATATATATATATATAGTGCTACCTCGAGAGACCAGTTAAGTGCGTTCAGTAACATAGCTTGTATGTCAAATTGCTAGTGTTTCAAAGCAATTTTCTGAATTGAAATTAGTTGAAGAATCATTAATCTGTTCGAGCCCGCAAAGTACCACTTTTGGATGTTGTTCATTAGTTTTTTCGTTTTTTTTTAAATAAGAAAAGAAAAGTGCATTAATACATAACAAGAATGGTTTAATATCATAAGATAGGTATATGCAAAAATATTTACTGGATTTAGAAAGTGTATTTTCCTTGAAAATTAGCCAACTTGAGCTTACTTAAGATGCTTACGGAGGTTTAGGCCCAATGTAGGCCCAGTGTAGGCCCAGTTCACTTAATCACTGTTAGTTTTTAAGCTCTTTTGGTCACATCGATTCGCTTACTTGATACACTCACTACACTTTATTCTTAAGGAGACTTAAACTTCAACGGATATAACGAAGCCTAAATTATACTTTCGCTTCATTTTAATCAATGCTCTTCGCTGTTCTTTGCATTTTTATGCAACACTTTCCAGATTCCCCCCCCCCCCCCCGTTTTTTAATGCAGGCCTTTAAAATAAACCTGTCCAAGGAGGTGTGTTTTTCCCTTCCTTTCAGAAGGGCCGCAAGTAAGTTAGGTAAGCGTCATTAAATAGCTCCGATACACAAGCAGTTGCAACTTTTTTGGGATTTTTTTTACAACGAACTGTTAAACCCACTAATCCAGTTACTGCTATCTCATACTTTGCTCGTGTGTCTAAGTTTTAGCTCGCTCGATCGCCCATACGTAAAATATTTTGTATGTCCTAGGACCTAGTTAACCCAGCCGAAGGACATCCATGCATGCACTGCTGGTGTTATGAGGGCGAGTACCAATGTGCTGTACCTGGCTGTCTACGACCCAGGTGTGTTGACAGTGTGAGCGATCCAAAATACTGCTGTCCTGTTTGTCCTAACGGTGAGTGTTCAAAAGTTCTTTTAGTAGCTCAATGAACGTCTCAGTATCACGAGTTCAGGAAAGGATGTAAGCTAAACACTTCAAGACTTATCTTTTTTTAGGCGATAACTGTGAAATGAATGGCAACATCATCCCTAGTGGCCAAACCGTTACTATCAAAGACGTAGGTCAGTGTTATTGTGTCGTGGACGAGTATGATGGCTTGCGCCCTGAGTGTGTTCCTGTGACCCCACCGATGACGACACCATATAATATGTGTGAGGTAAAGTTTTAAAATTAATTACATCCTCTAAATATGGTTTAGGTCGTTAATAATAACAAACTGATCAGGGGATTTGAGGAACGAAAAATATGATTTTTAAATTGATTAATAAAATCAAAATAAGTGAATTGTTCTGTTACAGTCTTGGGTATTTTAAAAATAAATAAAAAAGTTTGATAAATAAATAAATTCATATATATATATATATATATATATATATATATATATATATATATATATATATATATATATATATATATATATATATATATATATATATATATATATATATATATATATATATGGCGGGCTTTAATCCCCAGGAAAATGTGGACAACACTGACCCCTGTTACAAGTGCACGTGTGAGTACAACGAGAAACAATGTTACCACATGGACTGTTTCATGGACCAATGTGCTGACGGCTACACCGAGCCAGGAGAATGTTGCCCGACATGTCCCAACGGTGGGTGTCCGACAGAAAATAGATACATGTGTCTTAAGCCATATATACTAGTTCTAACCAGAGGTTCCTTTAGGTGTCTCTTCGGGGACGCCTGCGTCCGCCTCCCTACCCCGAAGCAAGTCTATCCCTCCTCACCCAACCCCTAACGAAATAGAAGAAATTTATCGTTTTTATAGAAAGAAATACATTAACCAGGGCCCGGACGAAAATATTTGGAAGAAACTCTTTTAAAATTAATACTATTAGTAAACTGCTATTATGTTTGCAGAAGGTAAAGATTTATCTTTAGACCTAGTTATTCATTTGGCTATTGTAGCGTAAGTTAGGTACTCATCATTGCTGGGTGGACTCAGGGGCGTTCAACCCGGATTCGAACTCGAAACTTTTCCCACTACATGCGTAGCTTTAAAGTTACTACATACATTTTTGTTCAAGTTTTTAATCAGACTTATTTTACAGGTAAAAACTGTGCTATTGGAGGTACAATCATCCCCGTAGGGGCCATCGTTTTTGTCGAGGGCTATGGCGAGTGCTACTGTGATATGTATCAAGACGATTATCGGATATACGCCAAATGTAGTGCCCCCACCGGTTCTCCTTCGACCACACCCCAACCAGATCCTGTTACCCAGCCCAGGACAGACCCGTCTACCCCGTCCTGGTCACCCCCCACTACCACAGCCTTGTCACCCCCCTCAACACCTGGAAACTGTGAGGTAAGTGATAAGGGTACAATATGATGATAGTTAAGTCGTGACGTGATGTCAACTCTTTTTATAAACCTCAGGTCTAATGACCACAACACATAAATACTCTATCCTCGCCGACCACAATCACGTCATTTACTGACATGGGAACATTAGCACCGTGTTTTTGATAAGCTTTACAGAAGAACGTGCGTGGACTAAGAAGCTTACTTGTCAACCCTGGTTCGAGATCAGCCGACCCCTACCTGCCTCACATGCCAAACATTTGAGCCACTGCACCACTCGAAGAAAGTCATTCATATGTTAAGACTAAAGCCCCAAGTCGGCCACTTCGTAAACTTGCTGAGTAGTTTGAGAAGTCGACAAAATCATCGCACAAAATAGATGACGTATTGCAATCGTGCAGGAATTTCATATCGAGATTTGAAGCATCGGAGTAACTTAGTTTTGCGATTTTATCTGTATGTCTGTGTGTCTGTATGTCTGTATATCTGTGTGTCTGTATGTCTGTGTGTCTGTATGTCGTATGTCTGCGTGTCTGTATGTCTGTATGTCTGAGTGTCTGTATGTCTGTATATATGTGAGTTTGTATGTCTGTGTGTCTGTGTGTCTGTATGTCTGTGTGTCTGTATGTCTGTTTGTCTATATGTCTGTGTGTCTGTGTGTCTCTATGTCTCCGTGCCTGTATGTCTGTGTGTCTTTGTGTATGTATTTCTGTGTATGTATGTCTGTATGTATGTCTGAGTGTCTGTATGTCTGTATGTTTGTGTGTCTGTATGTCTGTGTGTCACTGTGTCTGTGTGCTTGTATGTGAACACTGTTAACGTTTCAGTTATGATGACGAAATTGCTTATACAATAATAATAATCGAACAACTTTTGATCGATTTCCGGTAACAAGAGGTACTACAAAGGCTACGTAGTTTCGCACTTGTTGATGAATCTTAGTAAAACATTTCTTCATTCAGGTGTGTACGACCAGATCCCACTAACGCGCAACGGGTAGTTTTTTTCATAAAATTGTACTAACCTCTTTTTTTCAAGGGTTTGAACAACCCAGCTACGGGCGATCCTTGCATGCACTGCTACTGTACGAACGGGCGGTATGAATGTATCACTGGGGATTGTGGGACACCCAGGTGTTTTGACAGCGTCAAGAAGCCTGGTGACTGTTGCAGAACATGTCCCAATGGTGAGTATTTGGTGAGGTGGGGCTGACTGATTGGTGGGTGTTTGGTGTGGTGGTGATTGGGGATGGTGAGAGGTTGGTGTGGTGGTGTTAGTGGATGGTGAGTGATTGGTGTGGTGGTGTAAGGAAATGGTGAGTGGTTGGTGTGGTGGTGTTAGGGGATGGTGAGTTGGTATGGTGGTGTTAGGGTATGGTGAGTGATTGGTGTGGTGGTGTTAGGGTATGGTGAGTGGTTGGTGTGGTGGTGTTAGGGGATGGTGAGTGGTTGGTGTGGTGGTGTTAGGGGATGGTGAGTTGGTATGGTGGTGTTGAGAGGTTGGTTAGCCAATCTCGAGTGCTGGTGATTTTGTGTTTGCTTTTTAATGCCGACGAATTCAATAGTAGACAAGAGTCAATTTATAGTTTAAGTTTACATGAACGTTAATTCGTTTACATAATTCTTGAAATACGTGTTTCTTCAACTAAAGTATTTTAGTAGTATTTATTTCAGTATTAGGACAATTTTATCGAAATGTGAATAAGGTCTTTCGAAATATTAAAACATATTTCTGTTATTAACTAAGGCACACATTGTGTTTACTATTAGCGCGCTTCCGGTGTAGTAGTAACAAATACTAAATCCTAAAAATAAAACTTTGAAAGAATTACACGTTGTTCGGATGAAAGAAATTGTGCATCCAACATATTTGACAGGTGAGAACTGTGCTTTTGAAGGCTGGGTCATTCCATACGGTCAGACAGTGTATGTTCCTCTCAATGGTGACTGCATCTGTGTAGAGGTCGACCGTTACACGAGAGAGCTAGGTGTGCATTGTACCCCTGTGGAAATGACCGCACCTCAAGTTGAACTAACGACACCTGGATGTCCAGATGTAAGCAGTTTCTTTTTAAAATGATTCTTCTGTTAAAAATAAGATTGAATGAATGTTATAAAGTGTGCTGAGGGTGGTAAAGTGGTGCTTTTGGTTGGCAGGGTTACATAGATAGCAGCAATCCCTGCCGGAGGTGCGAATGTAACAGCGGTCAGATCCTATGCTACACATTACCCTGCCCTTTGGGACTGTGTGTCGACGGCTACACGGAGCCAGGGCAGTGCTGCCCTACGTGCCCTAATGGTGAGTAGAATGCTAAGCTCTAGGCACTGCTGCCAATTTTAGCACAAGACTGCAAATATGACTGAATTATACCAGGCATTTCCTGTTCAAGGATTAGCATCTCAATTTCTATATTTTAGAAACATAAAAATAGAAGACTTGTTGTAAGACGTATACAACCAAGTTAATAATTTTAAAATAATTATGACTTGACTGTAAATCCCATGCAAGTAGACATTGAAAATCAGAGTGGGTGTCCGTAAATAGTGATTTAATTTTATACAACCCATCTCTCCACAACATCACAAGTCAGAACCGGCTAAAGGACGACACTACAGTCTAACATCAAGCACCTTCCCCAACACACACAAAAACACAGACACATTAAAACAAAAATCTTTTTTCTAAATTATGAATGTAGCTTAGACACACATTACTATCCCCTCCACACTTCGCCAAGAAAACCTCTAACCCTTCCAAGGAGTGTGAGACCATTGATGGACGGTGCCAAAATAATCAACTCTAATCAAATTTAAACAAACAATAATTTAGTAACACACTTGTTCAGTTTAATAATCTTTGTACACTACTCAGCTTGTCGTTTTAGTGTATTTATTCTACTTGTCACAAGCCTTTTCTCCTACCTATTTCATGGCACACACTCAAAACAAAAATCAACCCTTGTTCCTGTAATTTCCATAATTTTATTGGTTCATAAGAACATCGCCTTCACTTCCAGACATCGCCATGTTATTCGCGCCCTATCTGCCTCTCTCCTTCCTTTCCTTAACGCATGCGCACACCCACCTTACATTTTAGATCCACACCGCCTTTTTTAAGATACACATTCGGAACATACATTCATCTACATTTAACTGTTACACTACTTATACACTCACAAATGGTACGGTTAATGAATAAAAACTGCTGAATATTTAATTCTTCTTCTCCCAGGTCGAAACTGTATGGGCTATGGTGTAATACTCCCCTACGGTTCACCAACGTTGGTTGAAGGTATCGGCTACTGCTACTGTGAGGATGACCCTTATACGTCTTGGATGGGTAGGATGGTGGTTAAGTGCTTGCCATTACCCACAACAACACCATGGGCGGACACGACTGAACCTACTGACCCCACCCCACAGGGTGAGACCAACAGCCGGCCTGCCAGGAGTATCAGGGAGACTATCAGAAAGCTCACAGCTAGACGTTGATGTCAGAATCTGCTAGCAGCTAAAGAAACAGACACTAACCTGGCAATATAACTTACCCACAATAATAATATTGTCTTGTTACACGCTTAATCTTTGAAATAATAATAAATAAAGCGGAAGTGATCTCACAGAAACATTGTCGTGTATTCCTATATAATAATAATGTTTGTAATTGAACTTGTATTGCAATCGGCCTGTATAAATATACAAGTTTGTGACAAAGCTTCTCGTTTGTCAACAAAAACACAATATATATATATATATATATATATATATATATATATATATATATATATATATATATATATATATATATATATATATATATATATATATATATATATATATATATATATATTTATATATATATAAATATATATATATATATATATATATATATATATATATATATATATATATATATATATATATATATATATATATATATATATATATATATATATATATCAATATCAATATCAATCTCTTCAAAGAAGAGATTAAAGTCTCAGCCAACATTTGAAAATGTTTTCTTTATAAGATAGACAGCTGTTTTCAAATATAATAGTGTAGCTTATGTCATTGACGCCACATCTTTACTGTATTAATCAAAGCAGATTTATCTACATTCCATTGGGATTTTGACAGACGCGACAACTTTCCTGGTTAAAAAAAAACAAGGTTTTAATTTTATTTATTTCATTGGTAAAGTTAGTGTGCTGCTGTACTCGCCATGAGTAGAATGTGTTTTGGTGAAATACTATCCACACGCCTGTTGTTGATGCTAATGTTGATTCTCAACTATGGTAGTGTGAATTCAATTCCTGTCACACCAGCGCCTAAGGCAACAAATTGTGCTGTAAGTGGGTTTATATTAGGTGTTTCAAATGTCGTTTAACCTTTATTGAATTTTAGTTTAACATTCTAAGGCTAGACACATTTTCTATTTTCAACTTTTCTTTCTTCGTCTTCATTGTAATGTTGGAAGGGATTCCCCAACACAAGTATTACGTGTCAACTTGTTATGTGCCAAAATGGGCCGTTGACTCCGATTTTATTATCATTTTCTTTTTGGATTAGGTTCAATAGCCTTTGTCCAACCAAGAACAACTTACAAGACAGCATTTGTTTTATTTTGGAGTTGTCTCCCCCCCCCCCCCCCAAAGAGCTGTTGCCCCCAACTATCGAACCTTATCTGGAGATTCGAACTCGATATTTTCGGTTTAGCAATCATGAGCTTTACCACACTCGACAATGCTGACCCAACCCCCTTGTTTTAAACAAACCATTTAAGATTTGTAAAGATTTTTAAATGTTGAAGTCAAATTAGATTTTTTTTAAAAGTGCAATTTGAAATGAAAAAAAAAAACAACAATCACAAACCAATCCAACAATACGGGTACAGTCATTTAAAATGAGGATATAATCACTATAGAAAGAATCTTCTAATCAACAAACCCAACAGGCTAATAAGAGACAATTTTTTACCATTTCAACCAACCAACAGGGCCTGACCAACCCAGGGTTAAACAACCCGTGCATGCGTTGCTCCTGTGTGGACGGTCAGTTCGAGTGTATGATCGAGTGCTGTAAGGGCCTGGAGTGTGTGGACGGTGTAATTAAACCTGGAGCCTGCTGTCCAACTTGTCCTAACGGTCAGTTTATTCGAGCTTTTTATTTCGCAACAAAATATAATTTAAAAATTTTTTCGTTACTACCGACTAAGACAAGACGACACAAAGGGTTAATTATGTAGAATCAATTAAGTAGAATCAATTAATTAAGTAGAATTTACCTGGTTCTATGCAGCTAAGGACATGCAATGATTGTGTGGTCAGCACTACGGCTAAACGAGTTTTGTTTCTTTGGAAAGAAAAAAAAAAGACGTCAAATTGAAACCAATGCCGGGAGTCGGAAATAAATCTTTTGATCTATTTATCTTGTACTCTGCAGCACCCGTATATGATGTCAGTTTTAGAAAAAAAAGTTGACATTTTTTAATACAATTTTATTTTAATATTAAAAACTACATGTTTATGTATTGACACCACGTTTTAATTGTTCAATGAACACATAAAATAACAAATTAAAACAACTGTAATGCTTTCATATATTTCTACTCCTCAGGTAAAAATTGCAAAATAAACGGCCGCATTGTTCCCATTGACAGCAGGATTGTGATCCCAGGACTTGGCGAATGCCTGTGTGGCCCTCCGGGTGAAGAAGGTCCAGAAACTGTATGTTTCCCAGTTACACAGTCCCCAGTGACCACCACAACAACCACAACAACAACCACACCAAAGCCCGCCACACTCAAACCTAAACCTCTCAAGCCGGTTAATACTTTGATGTAAGTTTTTTTTTTAATTATTGTAAGTTTAAGAAGAGCGTCTGAGACGAGGGGTGAAGTTCAATTTTCTGAGCTTCAAACTTGTGTTTGCTGTTGGAATATGTCACGTGCTAGAGGTGTGAGATGTGTACGGTGAAAATGTCTAGCACAAGCTACAGCTTATACAAAATTAAACGTATGACACCAAGTAGGTACATCCTTGACTCGCCGTGTGAGAGGATGTTTCGTGGTATCAGCCATGAGTACCGGTCTCTCTTGGGGGTATCTAAGAGCCAACGTGTACTGACATATTGTTTTTGTTACTAATCTTTTTTCAGTTTTGACGAATACTTCAGAAGAAATTTCTTGCAACGTACATTTTAAATAGTAACACAATTATATCTATAGAAAAATCGAATAATGTTTTGGAATTTTGTCATAAAAATTAGTGTTAAAGATGAGTACTTAAAACACAAAAGGGGAAATAAGTTAGTTGTAGCGTTCCTGTTATAAGTCAAAGACATATATCCTAGAGCAGAGACGGCCTTTTAACATTTTTAATCATGTTGTAATTTAAAACAAAACTTGAAGAATTAATGACTTAGTATTATTTTAAATCACAGGTTAAGCTTACTTTTCTATGTTTACATTAGATAAAAACAAACACGGAGTAAAACTAGCTTAACTACTTAAAATATAAAGAAATATTCATAGTCTTAAAAAGAAGAAATTAAACACGTTTTCATGTTTTAGAAAACTAGGTAATTAAAAAGTCTAGTGACAATTTTAGCGGAATTTCCTTAAAATAGTTCTGTCGTAGCGTAAATCAAGAGCAGGGTTAGTAAAACCATTGGTTAGTTATTAAAACGTTTTTTATTAATTTTTTTTTCAGTATTTTACATGTTTTATTTACAATAGAGTTACATAACTAAAATCCATTGCGCGCCTAGCTACCGAACGTGACGTCGCAGCCATTGAACGTGATGGCGCAGCTATTGAACGTGATGACGCGTGTGGTGTGGTTGGATAAAAGTGCCTACTAATTCGGTCCAAATTTTAATTAATACAAAAAATTTTCTGTGACCGAACGAAAGGATATTTTTGAAAACTTTCTTCGGCAATGTTGTTCTAAATTATGGCAGGAATCGATTGGTACATGTTTCAAGTCGCTAAGTGGTCTGGTTGCCGAGATATGGGCCAAAAACTGCATTTTTTCGAGGTTTTTTTGGCTTTTACGGGAAATCCATGAAAGAAAACCGGAATTTTTTTGGCCTATGTTCATCCTCGTAATTTGCTTAACATAATTGTTTTTGGAACTAGTCCTCGATATTGCTTCGTTGAGGAGGAGATACGACTTAAAGCTGCGGACACACATCCATTCATTCATACATTCATACATCCAGAAATGACGGGTTAATAAACGCAATTCTCCAGAATGGAAATTGCGCTAAAAATTATAAATTTTAAACATGTAGGCCTATTTGTTATCATGAAATGTTTGCAATACAATTTACGAAAAGGTTTTTTCTATTACAGCTTTCGAGACATTATGGCTTAATTTTTCTCTATTTTCAGTGGATACAGTATTTATTGTAGATGTCTTGCTATATGTTTTACTTATCGAATTAACGTCATTTTTATGCAATATGTTAAATAAATGTACTTTGCTTCTCTCAATGTTGAGTTCCTTCTTGTGTTCTGATCTACAAAATGTTCTGACTTTCAGGTCCAAGCGCGTGAAGTACCTGTTGCCTATTTGAAGCTCCAGGAAAATCAACTCTCTTAACAAATCAATTCTAATGGATCATGATGTAAATCTACCTGTTTTATAAATAAAGCAATTCACATTTCAGAAACTCGCTGATGTATAAAATACTTCTGTATTCAAACATTTCGCACACATTAAAGCGACGTGCTTGAAAATGAACATCGTAAGGGTATTGTTTCAAGGTTTAAAATCTTGGATCTTTGTCTTGTTGAAGTTTCATAGCAGACGTATCTGGTGCTATCTGCATATCAGTGAGGTATGTTGTCTTAGTTTCTGCCGCAAGTACATGAAAAGCGTGTGGTTCCTTCAATGAGATCGTTCGTTTTGTTGTGGTTGTTGTTGAGGTGGGCCTATTATTAAAAGTGTTGATTTCGATCGAAGTTCCTACTTTTTATTTCGTCTAATAGCCGCAAAACAAGCATATATATAGATTGTTTTTCCAGAAAAAACATGGAGTCGAAAATGTCATAGAAAATGATATCAATTTACCAAATTCTAAATAATCTAATTTTTATATTTGAAACTAAATCCACCTAACTGAAACGGCCCTCAGTTAATGTTCACTCTGGGGGCAGTGATGCTTTCACGCAGCTAGAGTATTACTGCACTATGTGCACCAATGATGAGTACTACACCAAACACAGGCATCCCAGACAGACATGTCCAAGACTTAAGTAAATCCGACATTTACTGTGTAATGTCTAGTAGCTGGAACTGGAAACATTAAAACTTAGAGCAATTAATTCGCCCTGATCAATCAAAAAGGAAACTTGAAGCAATTAAACATCCGCGAGAATTAAAAAAAAAAATGGCGTCCCCTAATTTTTGCAACTAGCCACATCTGTTTAGAATATTTGCATTCTTATGTAGATTTAACTTGTTTTCGTTAAAACTAACAGCACGACCAAAGCTTAATGTGATTAGCAGCTGTGTGGAATTAATGTGTGCGTGATTGACAGCTGCATTCACGTGGAACTGTCCAGCCTATTTCCATGACATGTACACTCATGCATTAAATTACAATGGATTGGTCTACATGTCGATGTGTGATTGATTGACCCATACAACACTACTTAAAGCGGACTGCAATGTTGTCAAGTAGATTATTGCGATAGTAGCAGCTAGCCTGTGGAGACTCACCATGTACCGTGGTAAAATGTTGTCGTCACATGTGGTGTTGTTGATGTTGTTGTTGTGTCTCAGCTACGGTAGGGGGTTGTCAATTCCTGTCACACCATCACCACAACCCACAGACTGTGAGGTAAGTTACTTCATTATCACCACAACCCACACATCTATGAAACGTAAATATTAAAAATAATTAAGGCATGAACTATTTTTTCGAATACATACCCTGTATTACATATTGTGACATAATGATAAACTATCACTCTAAAAAGAGTGTTATAGTATGTGCACAATTCTTCATAATGTACTCAGGGTCTGACGAACCCGGGGTTAAATGACCCATGCCAGACATGCACATGTGTGGACGGTCAGTTCGAGTGTATGGTAATGTGTTGTGCGGCACCTGAGTGTGTGGACAGTGTTAAATCGCCTGGAGCTTGCTGTCCATACTGCCCCAATGGTTAGTTTTAATTTTTTTTTTTAATATTGTAAAGGACCAAAGACCATCTAGTGGACCAGGGTCTCCAAACTTTTCAGCCCGAGGGCCGCATTAACTATCAAATTTCAGCCCAAGGGTCGCATTAACTATCAAATTTCAGCCCAAGGGCCGCATTAACTATCAAATTTCAGCCCGAGGGCCGCATTAACTATCAAATTTCAGCCCGAGGGCCGCATTAACTATCAAATTTCAGCCCAAGGGCCGCATTAACTATCAAATTTCAGCCCGAGGGCCGCATTAACTATCAAATTTCAGCCCGAGGGCCGCATTAACTATCAAATTTCAGTTCGGGGCCCGCATTAACTATCAAATTTCAGCCCGAGGGCCGCATTAACTATCAAATTTCAGTTCGGGGGCCGCATTAACTATCAAATTTCAGCCCGGGGGCCGCATTAACTATCAAATTTCAGTTCGGGGCCCGCATTAACTATCAAATGTCAGCCCGAGGGCCGCATTAACTATCAAATTTCAGCCCGAGGGCCGCATTAACTATCAAATTTCAGCCCGAGGGCCGCATTAACTATCAAATTTCAGCCCGAGGGCCGCATTAACTATCAAATTTCAGCCCGGGGGCCGCATTAACTATCAAATTTCAGTTCGGGGCCCGCATTAACTATCAAATTTCAGTTCGGGGGCCGCATTAACTATCAAATTTCAGTTCGGGGGCCGCATTAACTATCAAATTTCAGTTCGGGGGCCAGTTTCTTCCAGTCATGTCTTTGATTTTTCTGGGCCGTAGTTTGGAGACCCCTGATATAATTAAAGTGAATTATTTTGCACTTGTTAAAGTTAAACATATGACTGAAACAATGTTAACTAGGTTATGCTCCAGTCATCAGATGCGTTTGCTGATTTCCTGTCGTTAAAATAAGACAAATATTTCTAACCCAACTTCATATTGTGCTATTTAAGGTACGCCAAGTGGTGATTAATCCTTTTATATCGTCCACTACAGGGGTCTCCAAACTACGGCCCGCGGGCCGGATGTGGCCCGTGAGGCCCTCTCATCCGGCCCGCGGAGATCATTTTGTTCACGGAAAAAAAAACGTTTGTTGGTGATGGCTGAGGAACTTTGCCCAGAAAAATCAAAGACATGCCTGGAAGAAACTGGCCCCCGAACTAAAATTTGATAGTTAATGCGGCCCTCGGATTGAAAAGTTTGGAGACCCCTGAATTATATCATTCAGATAATTCAATACTAATAATAATAATACGTTTTGCAGAGAAATTAGATTCACCACAGTAGTTTTAGCTGTATAAAACACTGAATTCCCACAACTTCCTTCTACTATTTTACTTGTCTTAGTAATTAAATTTTATGTACTCAGGTCCCAACTGTAGAATAGAGGGCGAGATAGTTTCAGCTTCCAGCACGGTTACCGTCCCTGGCAAAGGACAATGTATGTGTGGTCCTCCCGGTGATGGGGGACCTGAACAATTTTGTTTCAACTAGCCTCACCCAGCCAGGTGAGTCCTTCAGGTAATGGGGGTGGGGGGGGGGGGGGGCTAAACAATTTTGTTTCAACTTGCCTCACCCAGCCAGGTGAGTCCTTCAGGTAATGGGGGTGGGGGGGGGGCTAAACAATTTTGTTTCAACTTGCCTCACCCAGCCAGGTGAGTCCTTCAGGTAATGGGGGTGGGGGGGGGGGGGCTAAACAATTTTGTTTCAACTAGCCTCACCTAGCCAGGTAAGTACTTCAGGTGATGGGGGGGGGGGGAACCTCAACAATTTTGTTTCAACTAGCCTCACCTAGCCACGTAAGTACATCAGGTAGTGTATCGTAGGTTGTTGAACTCCATTACCTGAAGAGGTGTGGTTAGCGGTAGTGATTGGTTAGTGACAATATGCGGTTAGTGGCGGGGTGTGGCTAGTAGCAGGGCATAGCATCTCTAGCCTTCAAGACTCAGGTTCAAATCTCTAGAGCCAACATTCAACAAACTACGAGAACAAATAATTTCACATTTATGACGATGTGTAACGAGGCGGAGGATAGTTTAAAATTTAAAAATTAAAATTCACGTCAGACTTCTAAATTTAGAAAGTAATTTTAAAAAATGAATTTTAACTGTTTCGCATTTAAAACAAAATATTACAGCTGATAATAGCAGTTTCAACTGTATAAAATGTGCATCAATTTTCTGATGGTGCTCTTGATATCCTTGACTGTGAAAATTCAAAGCTAAGCTCGACCGCGACCTTCCACATTTTTCCAAGAGGTATTTAGTTAACGATGGTGTTCGACGCTTACAAACGCCGAGACAACTGCAATTATTTTCGTCTAAACCTTAGCTAAGTTTGATGGTGTATCATCAATATACATACCTTGTTTACCATTTAACATGACAGTTTGTTTCCACAATGAATGTTTTAGTTATTCGTTTGCTTATTTTTTTTATTTTGTCCTTTCTTTTCAGGTAGAAACTAAAATACGTTTCTACAAGTATTTCTAAACTTCTTGCTTGAAGAATGAGATCAAACCTCCACCCTACAGATGTAACCAATTACTGCTAATTAGAAACATAAGGCACATTTTTCAATTTCTTTAAAAAATATTCGCATTATCTTTATTATGTGATGTTAAAACAAAATGATAAATAAAATTACAAATTCTTTTTAAGGTTGATGTTTCCTTCATATCGTAACTTGGTGATTTTATTTGAACTGCAAACAATATGTGCGTGTTTTAAAATAAATTTATTTTAGTACAACAACAAATAAACAAAAACATCAACTCCTAGTACATTTTAGGAGACCATTTATTTTTGTATGTTGACGTTTAATAAAATTCAAAAATAGTAAATGCAGGTACAATAAAGTAGTGAAGATAGTATCACGTGAAGGTAGTATCACGTGATGGTAGTATCACGTGATGGTAGTATCACGTGAAGGTAGTATCACGTGATGGTAGTATCACGTGATGGTAGTATATATATATATATATATATAAGTAGTATAGTAGGTCGTGTTTGGGTCGTAAGAGGAGGAGGAGGCGAGGGGGAAGAGGAGGAGGAGGAGGAGGAGGAGGAGGAGTGATTGATTATTTTGACCGTTATTGATTGATTTTTGCCCACCTGTTGCATATTTTGACCGTTATTGATTGATTTTTGCCCACCTGTTGCATATTTTGACCGTTATTGATTGATTCTCGACCACCTGTTGATTTGTGTCCCTGTTTTTTTGACCAACTATTGATTTTTTTGCCCGTTGTTGATTGTTCATTAAACAACTGTTGATTATTTTGACTAGTAGGTTATTGTTTTGATCGGTATGTTGACCACTTGACCACTTGTTGACCAAAACGATTATCATAGAGGAGGAGGAGGTTATTGTTTTGATCAATTGATCGATATATTGACCAGTTGACCAACTGACCACTTGAGCTATTGTTTTATTAATGGTTAAATAATAATGTTATACATTTTGTTGACCAGTGGACCAACTGACCAGTAGTTGACCAGATGATCAGTTTATCGGTTGTTGACCAGTTGCCCATTTGTTGGTTGTTTTTATTGACCTGGACGACAGTCCGACTTTAACAGTATATCGTAAAATAGTATTTCACCACCCTCCAGTGAGGGTGTGGGTGGGGGTGACGCGGGTGAAACCCGGGGTCGGGTGGGGGAGGTGGTAGCAGGTGGTACCCCTTCCCTTTGTGTGTTGCAATCTCATTCTCCCTTTGTCTGAAGTCTGTGTGATCATGTCCTTTTGTGTGCCGCTACTAGCGTCATACTCAAAGGCAGGTGCTGTACCCCATTGTCTAATCCAACTCACGCGCCTTTACTATCGATTTTTTTTTAAAGTCATGTTTAAACATGTTGACCGTATAAAATCTTTGTTGAATAGGACTGATGGATGTCGAATTCTACTCGTCTTAATTTAAAGAGATACAACACGTGCCAACAGCCGGGCGGTTATTGCCCCCTTCCTGGTTTCTACTTGGTTGTTGTGTTTATGGCTTGCGTTTATACACACACACACACACACACACACACACACACACACACAACTTACACACAACTTATATCACAACAAAATACTTCTTATATTTTATGAATTTATTTCAACTTTCTCCAAGTCATCAAACGCTTTTAAAATATCATATCTCAGGGCGAGTAAACGTTCAAAGGCTACACGAGAGAGATTAATTCCAGAATTATTAGGAAATTTAAGATCTGTACCATCCATAAGATCTCTAAGATTTAAAGTGTTTTTGTTCATGAATTGACTAACGATAGCTACTTTATAACCACTGTCATTCGTCGTTCGTATTTCCGTCACTTTATTACTACTCCTGGCCACAAGTATCCAATCTTCACTAGACATCTTGAAAGCGCGGAAATAAACGTTTATAATTAGTCCCAATAAGTGCAAGTGTTAAACGTGATATAAGTCGATCGTTAATATATTGTCGAGCCGGTAACGGTGAAAAAGGGTGGAGAATAAGTTTTAGGCTAGCTCCCCGAACTTTCTTCAAAACAAAATAAACTGCGTATAACCCGCAGCTGTTGGTTACAATGTCTTGCAAAACTCTTGAATTGTAAACGAATGGTCTGTTTGAATTATTTTTTATAAAAGTCAAAATGGCGGGTTCACGCGGTGGTAATCCAAAACTATCGAAATAAGTAAATTGCGATAGACCATTGAAAAAAAGACCAACCCAGTGGCTGCCTTCATCCTTGGACGAATCTAAATTTATAATGAACGCCGCTTGCTTCGTTCTATCGATACGAGTAGGTAGTTGATCGCACGCTACAACACCAAAGAGATTTGTGCGTTGTACAAATAAATCTGCGGCCAGTATACTTTGTAGTTCTCTTGTGTTCATTTTCGTTTATAAGACGCTTTAGGCGGTGTAATCTGTCAACACTTGTCTCGTTTTTGAAATTTCTAACACCGAATCTAGTTCAGCATACGCAATAACTTGAATAGGTTCAGTTGTAACTTGTGAAAATTTAAGTTCAATAGAAACAGGTCCAGATTTAGCCAATTCAAATTGTTCACCATCCAAAAGACTGGGGCTTAAATAAAAAGCAAACAAGGTATAGCCGTTCTTAAAGTGTTTATAGTCTATTCCATTCCCAGCATCTTTTCCAACCATACCCAGAGAGAGGTTACTATTGAAAAATGCTCTAATGGCTTGATTCCTATCAAAGTCCATGACCAGTGGTTTTCCCGATAACGATCGTCCATCAACGCTTACATTTAAATACGTCAAGTGAAAATGTTGAAAATTGAAGGGGTTTTTCGTGTAACTACCATTAAAGGCTGTAGAGGCGACTAGACCGAGGACTAATCGGGTGGGTGTTTGACTCATATACAAATTGTCTTGATTGTGACTTAACATTCCTTTCGGTATAGCAAAGGTCTTTATAACAACGCGTTTAAAAGGGTATTTTGCATTCATTCTCGTTAAAGCCTTTTCATGCGCGATAGAAATCGCCGGGTTAAGTCTGGCCTTTCTAACCACCAATGTTGCGTGCGTTATCATCGCTTTATACCTCTTGTTTTGGTCTGCTGTCAAGAGAGTGAAACTGTCTTTTGCGGGTGTAAGTTTAATTTTAATGTCAACCCCATTCAACATATAGCGATCTTGGGTGAAAATGTCAGAGTGTATACGTCCCATCATATCGATCTCATGACTTTCAGCAGCGGTGGTGCGGCGAATCCTATACCCATCATTATTATCATCTTTGAACTCCTCGAAATAACACGGTGTGTCCATCGCATATAGAGCAGCTGATAGAGACCCATTCTTGGCATCTTCCCCGTAATTTAACGTAGCCTCCAGATAGGCGCGATACGGATAGGTGTTCTCACTAGCGGTGATTAGTGTGTCGTTGAGAGAAATATCCACTTGGGAAAATAAACTGTGCAAAAAATAATTGACTGGTGCAACATCAGAGTCCACTGATATGGGATCACCATTCGCTAAGGTCACCTTAGCGCGCACATGTAAATACGTGTTGAACAAATCTAGATAGTCTTCACTGTTGCCAGAAATTGCAAATTCTATAGGTGCACTTTGTGCCAAGGATGCGAGGGGGTGTATTTCAACAAATTGACCCTCCTCGACGGCAGTTTGTGTCGGGGGTATACTAAATAAATCCAATCCAGAATGTAAGCACTCACATGAACTTGGATGAATAAGAGCCATGGTTAAGCAAATATATCTGAATACTTGGGATGTTTCTTCTTTCGCTTAGCACACGCCTTCGAATGATTGTGACTTGATCTGTGTGCTAGTTTTATTCGTTTTTCAAAGGGTTCACCTGGTGGTCTCGACAGCGCACGCTTTCTTCTCAATCCGCTTCCTGATTGGTTTTGTCCCAGGTGATCAACGGCGCCTTGTAATAAACGATGACCAGCTTCTTTGGCGTGTTCTTTGAACGATTCTCCAATGTTTCTTCCCGCTAATGCATCGTTTGCAACATGCAACCCGGTACTAACACCTTCTCTGAGTAA